ACAAACGTGGTGTAACCACACAAAGGAATACTACTCAGCAATTACAATGTATTAACTGTTGATGAAAATACTCATATGGATGGATTTTAAAATTAACATGATTCATGAAAGAAGGCAGACACAAAAGAACACAAGTATAATTTCATTACATAAAATGGTTAAAAACGCAAACTGACCTAAAGTGACACTGGCTCCTTGGGGCTGAGGGTTGAAAGAGTGATGAACTGCAAAGGGTTACAAGAAACTTTGGACTTATGGAAATTCCCATATCATGATTATAGCAGTTGTCCCATTTGTGTATACATTTGTAAATATGCATTTAATTATATGTTTTAAAGTGTTGTAGTCTATTGTACTTAATTTATACCTTTATAACATTGATTTAATCATCTTAATTTCTCCATACTAGCACTTACCAGATAGAAAATGAAATTCAATAAAACATAATGGAGATTAATATAGAAAATAATTACATGCTTAAGAATACATATAATGAAGCAGATACAAAGCCCCTAAAAGCTATTGGTGATAGAAATTAAAGAAGACTAAATAGAGAAATATGTATCATGTTCATGGACTGGAAGACTCAATTTTGCGAATATATCACATCAACATAATTCTGATTAAGAATTCTAGTAGAAGTTTTAGAGAAATGTAAATGCTAATTTTAAAATGTATATCAAAATCAAATAATCTGGAATAGGCAAGTTGGTCTTGAAAAAGTTGGAGAAATTACTCTGCTAGATTTCAGAACTCATTTTAGAGCTACAATAATTTAAAAGCTATGGGAAATGTGTAACTATTCATAAATACATCAAAGTAGAAGAGTACAGATTCAAACAATATGCTCCCTATGTACAGTTATTTAAACTTTTTAGAAACAAAGACACCAATGCCCTTCACTGGGGAAATGACTTCTCAATAGAAAGTTTCTGAGTGAAATAATATTTGTTGTTTTAAAAACTTAATAGTAACCACCACTTTTTACCATACATTGAAATTAACCTATGATGTGAAAGTTAGAATTAGAAACTTTCTAAAGGAAAAAATACAAAATATTTTCGTGAACTTGACATAGGAAAGTATTTCTTAGACCAGAAAATATTTCTTAAACTGTAGCACTGACCACAATAATAAATCAATTAAATGTACTTCATTTTTGAAAAGCTTCTGCTTATTATAGGTTAGTGTTTAATAAGACAAAAGCTATCTGGTGGCCAAGAATAATGATTTGCAACATATATGCATGTTGCAAATAAATATATATTTCATATATATATATATATAAAATTAGTCTTGACTAGGTCCAACCCCTATGGTCCCCTCTCTGGCGTGGGCTGAGGAAGTCCATTCTGGCCTTAGAACAGCATGGGCTGCCAAGCATTCTCAGAGAGGCTCTCAACTTCAATGCTTCACATGTACATAAATGAAACAATGGACTCTTTCAAAATGTGTAAATAACTCCAATAGATCACAAAGAAAACAACAAACATCCCAGTATATCAATGAGTGGAAAAATTTGAAAATGTGCTTTACATAAGATGTCTTAATGATCAATAGTCATGTGAAAACCAAAATAGATGATATCAATACACACCTGGTAGAATGGCTAAAACTTAAAAGACTGAAAATATTAAGTGTGTGGGAATGTAAAGCAAATGGAAATAGCCTATATTTGTCATAGAAATGTAAAATAATATAACTTTTTTGCAAAACTCTGTGTCCATTTTCAGCCTTTCACCAAGCAATTCCATCCCTAGCTATCAATACCCAGGAAAAACGAGTATGTATCTTCACAGAAAGAAGTGTACAAGAATATTTTCAGTTACTTATGCATAGTAGCCAACAAGTAAACCTGTCTACCATCACAAAAGTGGATATCAAACTGTGTGATAATTATACATTAAATAGGATATTTCTAGGCCAAAACAAAATGAAATGAAAGAAAAAAACAAATTAGTAGCATATATATCCAACTGATTAAGAGAAGTCAAAATAAGAGCAGATACTGAAATGATTTCATTGTTATGAAGCAAAAAAATCAGCAAAATTAATCCGATGTGGCTGCTATAGTTTCGATATTTGTCCCCTTCCAATCTCATGTTGAAATTGGATCCCCAATGTTGGAGGTGGGGCTTAATGGGAGGTGTTTGGGTTATGGGAGTGGATCCCCCATGAATAGATTAACCCCCTCCCTGGGAGAAGGTAGTGAGTGAATTCTCACTCTATTAGTTCCCACAAGAGCTGGTTATTAAAAAGAGCCTTGCGCTTTTCCTCTCTCTTTGCTTCCTCTCTCACCATATGATCCTTGCACACACTGGTTCCCTTTCATCTTCTGCTGCAGGGGAAAGCAGCCTCAGGCCCTCATGAGGAACAGTTGTTGGTGCCATTATTCTTGTGCAGCCTACAGAACTATGAGCGAAATACCTCTTTTTTCTTTATAAATGACCCAGCCTCTGGTATTCCTTTATAGCAACACAAAGGGACAAAGGGACTAAGATAGTAACAAGATTTAGAATATATTCTTCATTTGAGGATGAGTATTGACTGGCAAGGAGCATGTCAGAACTCTCTGGCATAGAATAAAAGTGTTGCCTCTCTTGATCTGGATGTTATTATACAATGTACAATTATATTAAAGTCATTAATCTGTACCCTTAGGTTTTTGTAGTTTATTCCATGCAAATTACACCTTAGCGAATAGCTAGTAGCATAAAACAAAGTGACAGATAACAAACACTCAAAAAAGTAAAAATTGACAGAAGATAGGTAACAAATATTGAGCAGATAAATAATAGGGATCCCTTGAGAAAAAACAAAACAAAACAAAAACAATGAAAGAGAACAAACACAAAAAAAGTTTTATTAAAAAATAGAATTTGACATTTAAAAGTTTAAAATATATTAAAGCGACACACTGTTTCCTTGGAAAAACAATGCAGAACCACAAACTCTGAGACTTGCTTTAGCAAAAGTACTGTCATTCAGTTCGATCTAATGGTATAAGGTTAGCTTCGAAGGCCAAAAGAAACTAGTTTCTAATTCTTATTCTTCTCCTCACAACATTTGTGGCCTAGCAATTTTGTAATCTTTCTGAGTCTGCTTTCTCATCAGGAGCAGGACAATTCCTAAGTAATAGATAGTATATAGAAGTAAATATGATCTCAGGCAGTGGACATCAACCATAATTAAGTATTAAGAGTATATTTACATTGAGCTCTCCTTTATCTACTCTAAAATTGCAGACAAACAACAATTGACAAATAACTGATAAAATGTTCTAACATAAATATTCTTCCATTCTTTCTAGGAAGAAGTCACACATACTGTAAAAATAATTAAGAGAGGACCCACTTCATATCGAACAACCTTCCCCAACCCCTGAAACAGGTCTGCTCCCTAACACCAGAGATGAACGCAGTCTATTCCAGACAGAGGGGCTTGTAGGGGCTGGACCCCCTGCAGTCCTGTCTGGCTGGAATAGACTAATAAAGTCTGCTCCAGCCTTAGAATAGCATAGGCTGCCAAGCGTTCCCACAGAGGCTCTCGACTTCAGCTCTAGATGTCTGAGGAATACATGCATGTGGGTCAGGTTAAGGCCAACAGAATCACATGTTCAGGGCTCTCATCAGTGTCAAAGTCAGTGGAAGGATGCCAGTCCCCAGAGCTCTGTTCCAAGCCATTGGATGCTCCATGGAGGGGCGGTGGTCATATGAATACCAATCAAGAGAAATATCTGTAACAGACAAGAGGCGTAAATAAACAATGTCCGTCCTCCACTAAAACCCAGGAGAGTTCTCATTCCAAAAGCGATGTCTTGAAGAAAACATAGGTACAAATCTTTGTGACTCTGGATTACACATTTCTAAGTGAAAATATAATCCATATAATGGGAGAACTATTTGCAAATCATATACCTACAAGGGTCTAGTATCTAGAGTATATAAAGAACTCACATAAGTGAGCAAAAAGACAAATGACCCAATTTAAAAATGGGAAAAATGTTTCAAAAGACATTTCTGTAAAAGATACATACAAATGGCCAACAAGCACATGCAGAGATGTTCAATGTTTTTCCTCATTAGGAAAATGTAAACTTAAATCAAAATGAGATACCACATCAGACCCACAAGGGTGACTTTAAAAAAACACAACATATGTTTGGAAAGTTATAGTGGAAATGGAATTCTCATATACTATTAGTGGGAATGTAAAATGCTGTAGCCACTGAGATTGGAAAACAGTCTGTCAGTTCCTCAAAAACTTAAACATAAAGTCATATATGATACAACAGTTGCACTCCTAGGTATATAACCAAGAAAATTAAAATCAGATGTTCATTAAAAAAACATGTACAAAAATGTTTATAGCAGCATTATTCATAATAGTGAAAAAGTGGAAACGTTCCAAACCACCATCAGTTGATGAACAGGTAAACAAAATCTGGTATAACTATAAAATGGAATATCATTTGGCCACAAAAAGGATTGAAGTACTGATGCATGTAACAGCAAGGATGAACCTTGAGAACATTGTAATAAGTAAGAGATGCAAAAGGTGATGTTGCATTATTCCATATACAGGAAATGCCCAGAACAAGTATATCTATATACAGAGAAGGTAGATTAGTGTTTGACAGGGACTGCAAAAACGGGGGAATTGGAGAGTGACTGTCAGTAAGTACAGGCATGCTTTCCGGCATTACGAAAGTATTCTGAAATTAGGCAGTGGTGATGGCTGCAAAACCTTGGGTATATAGTAAAAGACGCTGAATGGTATGCATAAAAATGGAGAATTTTGTGATATATGAATTCTACTTTAGAAGTAATAATAATAACAACAGTAATACAGAGAGGTATCTTTCCACATCTCCATGCCCTGCTTTTTTTTTTTTAAAGCTTTTTAGGGCCAGGATCAATGGCTCACTCCTGTAATCCCAGCACTTTTGGAGGCCTAGGTGGGAGAATTGTTTGAGGCCAGAAGTTGGAGAGCAGCCTAAGCAACATAGCAAGACCTCATCTCTACAAAAAATTTTTAAAAATTAGCCAGAATGGTGATATGTGCCTAGAGTTCCAGCTAATTGGGAAGTTCGGACAGGAGGATCACTTGAGCCCAAGAGTCTGAGGTAGCAGTGAGCAGTACAGACCATTGCACTTCAGCCTGAGTAACAGAATGAGACCCTGTCTCAAAAAGAGGCATGTCACATAGTGAGTTTTCAGAATAGGTTGCTGACAGCATGTTGAGAGGAAATGTATTAGATGAAACAAATTAAATTAAAAAAAATTTTTGAGGCGGGGATGCAGAAATGAGGTACAGGGGAGAGAAACACTTACTTGGAAAGAAACCACACAACTGAATTGGAAAACGTGGAATGGGGCTTGTGGGAGGGAGACTCTACCTGAGATCTGGCTTCAGTCCTTACAGCAAAGGGAACTTGGGTGAGTTACAGACTCTCTGTGCCTTGGTTTCTTCATCAGCAAAACAGAATCATCCCATCAACTGTAAGGTCCATGGTATCAGAGGGTCCCCCAAACGGACTGCACATCTGAGTCATGTTAACAAATAAATTCCAGGCCCCACCTGAGCGCACTGAATCAGAATCCCTGCAAGGAGGACACTGGACTTGTATTTGCACCGACCTTCCCAAGTGTTTCTTTCTCTGGTCAACTTGGGGGTGGGAATCATTGAGCCTCATCACATCATTCCAAAGCCCAAACACAAAAGCAGAACAAGAATATATTCAATGCAGTCTCTTAAAGTGGAGAAAATTCTTGGGGGAACCTAGAATTGAAGGAGACCCGCCTTGCTACTCTCCATCTTAACTTTACCCTGAGTATGGCAGAGACACGAGCCCTTCAGGACACATGCCTGAGGCAGTGACAGTCCAACTTTGGAACAACGGAAGCCCTAGTTTCAAATTCAAGCTTGCTTTGAGTAGAAATTAAGTTTACGTCTTTTTGTACAGCAACAAGGCCAGTCTTCTGCAAGCCGCTCACCTTACAAGGAAATAAACAAAAATCATACTACCAAGAATTCAAACTTCAGCAGACATGGGTAAGTCTTATAAATCTGTTCTAGCCAACTGAAAAGAAACCATAAATTTTGCAATTCTTTCACATTCAAGACAGTTGTGGTCACAAGATCAGAGGCACTGAGACATGAAGAAAAGACCCCCTAAAAAGGGAAAGCATTCCTTCCTGCCCTAGGACATCCCTGCCAACTTCAGGGAGGTGGGAACCCTGCTGCACTCTCTACAGTATGTGTTGCTTTTGTGTCTGGAAGGTGTCTGACATCCTGGGACCTGGATCCATTTCAGGGAGCTTGAGAAGAGCCTGAATCACTGATGGAATTGTACTGTGCTTGGAGATGGTTCAACAGGATGAGGGTAAGTGCAGAAGCACGGCCAGGTCATACTGAGAGACAATGAGTGGCACTGATGGGGACAGACAAAGATGAAAAACAAAAGTTTGTGCTTCGACCTCAGAAACTCAAACCAATAACTAATTTACTCTTATAAGTAATAAGAAGCATTTTTCTATTTACATGAGAATTTAATCTCAAAACAGAAATCAGAAAAAATATTAAGTCCAGGGCGTAAAACCTAAATCATAGCTTATATTTATTCATTCTAAATAGAGCTAAGAGTAAAATCTTCTCCATAAAATATATATTGTGGTTATAACAAGGCAAAAGTCTTAATGAGAAGAGTGAATTAATTGCAGCCATGGGAAGATGCAAGTGTCATACTTCTCTTGTATATTCCAAAGTTCCAGTGAAATTCCAGGTAATAGAGGTTATTTCCCACGTTGTGAAAGCAAGATTGCAGACACTTCTGATTTTTGTCCCAGTGCTGAAGGAGGGCACACCTCTGTCCTGGAAAATGATACAGGGATGAATGCTCTTCCCATGACTCATTCTGGTCATTCTTCCAGCATCACAGAAACCAAAAAATAGGAATACGGCCAAATACATGATTTGCTATCCCTCTTCTTCAGGTTTCTTACCTGTGTCTTACGGAAAATAACATTGCCTTAAGGATTATGATGAAAATAAGATATCCAAGTATGTGTACAGTTTTGAACAAAATGCCTAGTATGAATTGGTGAATAAATAATTACGTGACTTTTTACTGAATTACATGGATTCTATAAATAATTACTGAATAGCTTTTGTGATTCCTTTTTTTGGCAGTGCTCAAAATTCATCCCTGTATGACCTCAAGTAAACCATGTAACGTTGTGAACCTGCAGTTTCATCATTTTTAAAATGAAGAAACTAGACAGATTTTCACTCTGACACAGAATGTCAAGTCTCTGAGACACCAGAGAATAGATAAATTTATAGCCTTTAATACATCTCAAAGCACTGTCATTACACAGTGTAGTTGGAGGATGGTGCAGGCTGCTGAGAGGCGCACTTTCCAATGGGATTAATCCAGTCCTCCTCCCTTCACTTCCACATGAATGTTGGGTAGCCCGTGGTCACACTTATCACAACTCAACTCAGGCAAGTTCAGCAGCCACACTTAGGAGATCTGGGCTACAGGACAAATTCCCAAGTCCTAGCCTCACAAAACCTAGTTGAGGATGGAAGCTGAGAAAGTGAGGAGGTGGTTCGGGGGAGCACGCTCCCCTACTCGTCCCTCTCATCTCAAACTCACCTTCTGCTGCACAGGAACACGGAGGATCACCAACCACCCCTGACTGTGAGCTTGATCTTGCCAGGTTCTGTTAGTGGAATGCAACCACACATCAACGGTGTTAGAGCAACTCAATATATACATATGTATATATCCAATAATATTCTCTGAGAAGCATTCAAGGCCGTGTTCTTTTCAATATATGGGAAAACCAAAAACAACAAAATATCCTCGGGTTTACAAGATTTCCCAAGATACATGGTCATACATGTTTTCAGGGGATATGTACAAATGATTTTGATCACTTAATACCTTGAAAAGAGCTCTTGTGGGACCAGAATGATATTTGTAAGTGACAAGTATGAAACGAGTGTTCAGTGACACTAAAAAACAAATCAACCTACACATAGAGGAAGAGCTATGGACATAGGGATGTGAAACTGGTCTTAAGTGTAATAAAAAGCCAAGATGCTGCCCCAGTAAGAGAAAAGAAATCAACATAACAATGGGATGCAGCAAGAGGAATACTGAGCCAGGAGAGAAAATATTTTCAAAAATGAATCATTCATTCACTTTTCAGTAGCTACAGAAAAAAATGCAGAAGACCCAGGGGATATCATGGCAGTCTAAAAGTCTGATATCTTTCACATATGGAAAAGCCTTAGGATCTGATTCAACTTAGAGAAGGTAGAGTGATTTTGTGACTACCACTAAGAAAATATAAGCTTTTGGGAAACTACCTCTACCTTGACGATTTTATACACACAAGGGATGAGCAATGAGGAATATGCTTAGATGTATTGGGAAAGAGGTGGGCCTGTAGCATTGTCACAAGGGTGCACTAACACTGAGAGTGACTGCTGAAGAAATGGTCCCCATCAGTGACCATCAGGTGAGACCAGGGCCCTAGTGTTTCAGCACATCCTGGGCAATTGGAATACAGGGCTCCTAAGATTCCATGACACCTCCACCTTCTAATTCTGTTATTGCAACTGCAGACCGTTACCTGGCACGCTGGCTGCTACCTCCCTCACTCTTGTCAGAGTCGGAGATACAGGCAGTGCATTCAGCTCTGAGCTCAGGCATCCTGGACCCTGTTTTTGTGGTTAAGGACTCTAAAGTGTTGTGGGGTGTTGATCAAGTTTCTCTCAACTGTAAGTTAACAATTCCAGTTATTGTCATCTCTCAGTCCTAATGAAACCTAACTGATTTCACTAGTTTTTGAGCCATCATGTGTTTGGGTTTCTTCTCCCCAGTCCCTGGCTCTACCTCTTCTGCCACAAACGTCAGCATGGTGGTATCTGCCGACCCTTTGTCCGGCGAGAGGGCAGAGATGAACATCCTAGAAATCAACAAGGAATTGCGCTCCCAGCTGGCAGAGAGCAATCAGCAGTTCCGAGACCTCAAAGAGAAATTCCTTATAACTCAAGCTACTACCTACTCCCTGGCCAACCAGCTAAAGAAATACAGTAAGTTCTATGTATAGATTCACCATCACAAAAGTGATGAATGACCACCTGTGGCCTCTGAGAAACTGAACGGTCTCTTCATCAAAATTAATGACATCCTTCCCATACCTCTAGGAAAATAGAAATGGATTTTTTAACTTCATGGTGTTAAGGATGGAAAACAGAGGCACAAAGTATTTAGCAACTTTTCCACATTTGCAGTCTGGTGTGCGGTGAGAGTAGAATTAAAATCCATCATATTGACTGCTGACACAGGCAACAGAACCACCTGTTTTTCTCAGCAATAGGCTAAATCATGTTTATGAGAATCCTCTCTGTACCATGTAAGATGCTGCAGACAGGTAACATCTAGTCTGTTGGTCTAAACGTCTGGGACTAATGAACTTCCATTCAGTACAAAATTCTTTGAGGCCCATTAGGCAAAGCTCTATTCTGGGCACCCTGGGGGAAACATAGTGACAATAAACAGCACCCGCTCTAAGGAGTTTAAAGAGGAGACTACTACTCATAGTAACTGCGGCAGCCATAAGTGACAGCATCAAGAGCAAGGAGTACCATGGTGAGAGGGAAGTCCTGCTTCCTGGGGCACAGGCTCTTATTCCTAAAGAGGAAGAAAGCTGGCACATAAGACATTGTGGAGGTAGCAGTGTAGTGTGCAGAGCAGGGACCCTGGGCTCCTGGGCTCCATCCAAGTTGCCTATCTTCTCTGTGCCTACGTTTCCTCATCTGTTCACTGGGTACTATAATAATACATACCCCAGAAAAGTGGTGCAATGACTTACATGATCCATTTCTTCTAAATCTTCTAGAACAGTTCTTGGCACAGAGAAAACACTCTCTATTAGTTCTTCATTCTACTGTGTTTAACTTAATTCAAAGTTTATTAGTATTTGGGCATATTTCTATTATAGCCTTTGGGTGTTATGCCTCATATTTTATGCAATTATATTCAGATACGATATTTTACATATTTGACATACTTGTGCTTGAAATTTCCAGTACCAGGGAAACCGTGAGTCCCATAGTGCTAAGGGTCTTCCCGACTGTGCAGGATATTATTACCTCATGCCCCAGCGCAGTGTTTTACAGGAGAGGCTGCAAGGCTTGGGAAAATGTCCCAAGATTCAGAGTCAGACCTCAGGGGCTGTGAATTCTGACTCTGCCTTGTTCCAGGTGAATCATCTTCTCAAGCTACTTGATGGGCCCTTGAGTTTCTTTCTTCCCATCTCTAAGTTGGGGAGTATCAGATAACAGAAAGTTGGGAGGTTGATAACTAAAGATGTGGAAATGCCTGCCTAGAGCCTGGTACTGGGGCTGCTTTCATCTTTTGGATGTATGCTGCCACCTGCCCTGTAGGCAGTGACCCCAGCTGCATGTCCAGCCTTGCACTGAGGCAGGCATGTCTGTCTTTTCTCAGAATGCGAAGAGTACAAGGACATCATAGACTCTGTGCTGAGGGATGAACAGCAATTCACGGAGAAGCTGGCAGAGAAGCTCAGGAAAGCTGAGGAGCTCGGGTGAGTAGGCCCCATTGGGGGCAGGCAGATGGGCAAGGGTGTGAATCTCCGAAGTGCAGCAACTCAGCTGGGAGAACTAAGAGCTAAGCTGGGCCAGGACAAGGGCAGGCATTTACATGGCAAGCACATGTCACACAAATATTTATAAAATTGAGAACAGTCATCTTAGTAAGTTATGGGTTGCAGTTATTTCTTGAACCTTGTTTTCTCTTTTTAAAACAAGGAATTGTTGAGGTGAAATTTGCATAACCAAAGTTATGCAAAAGAAAGCGAACCACCCAGCAGCATTTAGCACACTCAAAATGGTGTGTGATCACCACTCCATTTACTCTTAGTTAGAATCGCCTCCTGACTGACTGCCGCATGTCATTCGTTCAATCAGTATTGTGGTCTTGACCCTGTTATTTTTTTCTTCTTATATCTTACCAATCCACTGCATTTGCACCTGGTCACATTTCTTTGCATGGCTTTAGCTCTATTTACTGCAAGATGCACTGTGTGAATTTCCATATAGAAATGTCTATGGCCAAAGTGAGGAACTGAAAAGAAATCCATTTGGAACTGATCTAGAAAGACACCGGCTTTTGTTTACAGAAAGAATAGATGAATGGAACATCATCGAGGATCTTACAGGAGCACTCTCTTACATAGAGGGAGCCTTAAAATACATATATATATACCTTAAAAATATATTTTTATTAATATTATTATTTTTCTCTTGGCCACAGGCATTTCTCCAAACATGTGCTGACCTTCTCCTTGGAGGTCTCCTTGAAGACATTCTGAAAGATATCTATATTGTAGTATTAAAACTGATCATTCATTCCTTTCTTTTATTAAATGTTCTCTACTATCTCACCTTAGGCAATATAAAGCCCTGGTTCACTCTCAGGCACGAGAGCTGACCCAGTTACGGGAGAAGTTACAGGAAGGGAGAGATGCCTCCCGCTCACTGAATCAGCATTTCAAGGCCCTCCTCGCTCCTGATGACCTTGACAAGTTCCAGGGTCAGGACCTCCGAGAGCAGCTGGCTGAGGGGCACCGGCTGGCAGAGCGACTTCTCCACAAGCTCAGTCCAGGTGAGGTGGCCACGGGCCGTGATGACACACAGCTCTAGGCTTATGAAAGTCCTAAGACCTCCACACCTCCACAATGACCATTTTATGTATAGTGTATCTTTCCCGTAAACATTTGTGGCTGTGACATGACCAGAACTTCCTGGGTAAAAACAGAGATGGGAAACCCATTGGGCTGGAGGTCACAGTATTGCAAAGGTCTCCTCCTTTCTTGATGGAACATAGTCTTTGGAGCAAGACGCAGCATTTGTCCAGTTTTAAAGGACAGGAAGGAGGCTGTGACAGGAGGCAGCTTGTTAGAGTGAAAAGAGCCCAGCCTAAGAGTGAAGGTTCCCAGGCTCTATCTTCAGCGACGTCCTTAGCAACTGTGGTCAACTGATTAATTTATCCTTCCTGGGTTTCTGTCTCTAAATCTGTAAAAGCAAACAAATTGTCTCTGGCATTCAAATATGGGAACACTTATGACTCTATTTCACATGAGATAAAGCCCCTTGCTGTGTGCTGTTGGAGAAGGTATTTGAAGTGCTGGCATTTGGTGGTAGGAAGTGGTTGAGGCTGAAGCACTCCCCATGGAGACAGTGTCCCTGGATAACACAGTATAAGCCACTTGGGGGGCACATGAAGTCCCTGATGTATGGAGTATTGTGGGACAAGGCTGTTTGTCCTGTTCTAAGAGAAAGATACAGGTTCTAAATGCGAGCTGTGACAGGACACACAGCCTGTGCCTGGGAATCACATCTGTGGGAGGACTGGGGAGACAGCTGCTGAAGTTCAGAGAGAGGCTGGACAAGCCTGCAGTGATGTTAAGAGGAAAAAGTCTTTTCAATATTTGGCCACATCTTGATGGTGACCCTGCAGATCAGAAATGCATTGCCTCATGGATTAGGAAACCATTCCAGGGCATTTTGTTAAAGATAAAACATGAGAGCTCTTGTACAGTCTGGTCTCATACATATAGATGTTTGTGTATCCGTGCACATAGGGCTCACTGTACTTGCATAGGTGAAGTAGGAAATATCTGAATGGACACTTCTGTATTTGCAGAGAATGATGAAGATGAGTATGAAGATGAGAAAGATGAGGAGATTGAGAAAGTACAGGAATCACCTGCTCCCAGGTAACACTGAATAATCAGGAGCGGGTAATGGGTGGTAAAACATGAAAAGGGTCTCAGAAAGAACACAAGGCGGGTGAAGGTAGTTACAGATTCCAGATGCAGGATAAGAAACCTGCAGAGTCCACTGATTTCATGCACTCACCCAGCAAGGAAATAGCCTGTTAACATGCTTGTCCATTGTCTTCATGGTACGCGTAAGCATGACCCTAGATGAACTCACAGCCCAAGGGACTTCCTGCACACACAGAGGAGACATGTTCTCCCCTGCAGTGAAAGCCAGGAGGAGGTGCAAAGCTGCTTTCTACACGGTTGTCTTTATGTTCTTTTAAGGAAAGATAAATGGCAGAGAGGCAACAAACAGAGGAATTAGGAAGTACCTAGCAAAGTTGAACACAAAGAAAAGTACCTAGACAAAGAATTTACATTTCATGTCACAATATTAAAATAAAAATAAATTTAGAAGGCACACCATCTCTGGAGTCTACAATGGCTCAAAGGCCTGTATTCCTGTGGCCACAGTAGGTTAACTACAACCCGGCTTAGACACACCGTGTGGCAGCTGTTTTTAGTCTGTGTGTGCTCTCAAGACTGTACCATACAGAGACAGCTGAGTCTCCGTCCTCAGCTCCTACCTACCCAGTGCAATGATCACCAGCCACTGTTTCGTCTCTGGTTTTCTCTGCTCTGTTGCAGAGAGGAGAGGATTGTCTGTTCCTTTTTTTTTTTTTTTTTTATGAGACGGAGTCTCACTGTGTCCCCTAGGCTGGAGTACAGTGGCGCGATCTCTGCTCACTGCGAGCTTCGCCTCCCGGGTTCACGCCATTCTCCTGCCTCAGCCTCCTGAGTAGCTGGGACTACAGGTGCCCACTACCGCACCCGGCTATATTTTTTGTATTTTTAATAGAGACGGGGTTTCACCGTGGTCTCAATCTCCTGACCTTGTGATCCGCCTGCCTCGGCCTCCCAAAGTGCTGGGATTACAGGCGTGAGCCACCGCGCCCGGCCTGTCTGTTCCATCTTAAAGGGAAACTCCCCTTTGCTTTCTGAGACCACTCTCTTATGCCTCCTGTCAAAACCAGTAGGACTTCCTGGGGTCCAATGCCTTTTGGTTTAATCTTCTGTCATTTCTATCCCACCGGGCACATCAGGGAGGTGCAGATGGCTGAAGGAAAGGAAGTCCCTCAGGACTCACTGGAGGAATGTGCTGTCACTTGTTCAAATAGTCACGACCCATCTGACTCCAACCAGCCTCACAGGAGCACCAAAATCACATCTGAGGAAGACAAAGTCAACTCTGCTCTGGTTGTAGAGAATGAACCCTCTCATGATGAAGAGAAGGAAGCTCTAAACATTCTCCCAGGTAGCCTCTCTATTCTTTGTCCCTCCTGCCTCTGTCTAGGCTGAGGAAGATCAATTCTGAGGACAGGCTGCATACATACATATTGGTTTGATTTACATACTAAGACAGAGCTGGGTGCAGTGGCTCATACCTGTAATCCCAGCACTTTGCAAGGTTTAGGTGGGTGGGTCACTTAAGTTCAGGAGTTCAAGACCAGCTTGGGAAATGTGGTGAAACCAATCTTTACACAGAATATGAAAAATTAGCCAGACATGGTGGTGCGTGCCTGTCATCGCAACTACCCGGCGGCTGATGGGGGGAGTCATCTGGACCCAGGAGGCAGAGACTGCAGTGAGTCATAATTGCACCACTGTACTCCAGCCTGAGTGACAGACAGAGATTCTGTCTCAAAAAAAAAAGAAAAAGAAATAGAGAGAGAGAGAAACAGAGAGAGAGAGAGAGAAAGAGAGAAAGAAAGAAAAGAAAGAAAGAAAGAAAAGAAAGAAAAGAAAGAAAGAAAGAAAGAAAGAAAGAAAGAAAGAAAGAAAGAAAGAAAGAAAGAAAGAAAGAAAGAAAGAAAGAAAGGAAAGAAAGAAAGAAAGGAAGAAAGGAAAGAGAGAGAAAGAAAGAAAAAAGGACAGAAGGAGAGAAAGGAAGGGAAGGGAGAGAAAAGAAAAGAAACTATGAGGGAATATTGCACACAGTTATCCGAGGGTCAGAGACCTTTCCTCTCCTCCTTGGCCCATGGCATCACTTTGTCTTCCTGGCCCCAATGTCAGCATGTTGGACCACAGGCAGGTGTGACAAAGTCATAGCCATCTGTGTACAGGAGGTTGCTGTCAGGCCTCCTGGCTCGGTTCCTATGACTCTTGTCACATGCAATAATGATTAGTGTCCCTCAACAATGTTCATGGAGTTTCTATGCCTGTCACAGGCCGCTGACAGTCTTGCCTGTGTATTTGGAGCTATTGTTTCTCTGCATTCACTGTTCTCAGCCCCAGGCTTAGTCTCCTTTAAATCAGCTTGTCCCAGCTAAGCAGCCACCTTGAAAGCAGGACATAAACACTTATACCTTTATCTTGCTTGTAGTTTCCCTAAACAAGGCTGGGCTCTGAGTTCTTCAAACCATGAGTGGCCAATGTTTCTGTGTAGTACCACAGATCCATTTTATGCAGGGGTTGTTAGAATTTATCCATCAGTTCAGTCTCCTATATAAATTTCTCTAACCATTCATTGACCATGATATATGATGAGATAAATCGGTATTGCAACAACACTTCTGGAGAGTAGTTAGGGCAATTCTTGAATTCTTGTGAGAAAAGTTTTCTTTAACTGTTGGCACAGACTTAGATCAGAGGAGAGGTGATTGTTATCTACCAGATGAGGGAGATTTTGTTTCATGGGCCTGGAAAGGAGGCTCATCTACTTCTGACAAGACTTAATTTACGGTGCCTTACAACCTTCCTGTCAAAATGTCACATTCTTACACTGAAGATATTTGTGTCTTGCGCCATGATTGGGCACTGATTCCTTACTGTGACCTGCTCTTCTGAATTTGTTTACAGAAAATCAAAATGATCATGAGGAAGAACAGGGGAATGTGCCAGTGCTCCCCAGGTAACTGTGGATTTGTGGGCTGTTAGTTCAGTAGTGACACCTGGACACCACGGATCCAGGGAAAATAGGAAGTGACGAATAGAATTGTCTCATCCATTCATCCAACTGCAAATTACCCCTTTTACAATGTTGTCTTCTTTATTGTGGTACTTGAATACCTTTCATTTCTTAATCCCGCTCAAGCATAGGAACAGACAATCAGTTGAGCCAGGTGAACTGACTAAACTCAGGGATTTCCTGATCTCACCTGTGGTCTCCCATGTGGTTAATCCAGAGTGAGATGCATATCTGCTTTCTCTCTGTTTTGTGTCAGCATGTTGGCAACTACTTAGTTGCAAGAGAGAAATTAAAAATAAAAATTTCGTATGATGTCAAAATTTGAAAAAGGGGGAACTTAAAAACACAGCATCTGTGTGTCTGGAATGCCTCAAGAGCTCTGTTCACTTAGATGCTGCATGTAAATGTCAACGCCATTTGTGTGAAGGAAGTGAAGGCCTGTGTTAGTTCTCTCTGCTGCAGGTCATGCTGCTAGTTTACAGGGAGAGTCTGGGTCTCCTGCAGCAGCTCCTTTGTGGCAAGTGCCCTGAGCACCTGCTGCTGGCATTTGCTCTGTCCCCAGGGCAGTCACATCCACCCCACATTTAGAAGGATGACTTTTCTCTCTTGGAGAGGCTCCCCCTTTGCTTTCTGTGACCACTCCCTTTGTGTCCCATCAAATCACATGACATGCTGTGGTGCTGAGTCTGTCTTGATCTAATCTGCTGTCGTTCCTATCCTACCCGGCTCATCAGGAGGGTGCAGGAGTCTGAGGAGAAGGGAGTCCTGCAGGACTTACTAGAGGAATGTGTTTTTTCTCATTCTAGACACCATGATATATCCAACTCTTACCTGCATCATGAAGTCACTTTCTTGGCACTGGATGAAGAGAAAGTTTGCTCTGTTCAGGATGTTGCCAGGGATTACTCCAATTCCAAATGGGATGAAGCCCCACTTGGCTTCCTAGGTAGGCTCCCTATTCTTTGCACCCCACAATCTGTCCATAATGACAGATTTCATACCTTCAGGAAGACAATATGCTTATACACTGGTAGAACCAGGCTCTAGAATTGAGTTTGAAAAAAGGCATCCTAGGAGTCAGTGTTTTGCTCCATCCTCCTCCACAACCACACATTGTCTTTCATCTTTGCCCCATTGTCAAATCACTGTACCCAAGGTTGACCTGACAAATTCATACCCACCTCTGCAGCCTGGGTGCAGGATGTATCCACCAGTCCTCCTGATTTAGATTTAATCTGTCATCTCACATGAAATCTTCTAATTTTCCTTCTCAAATAACCTGAGTTTCTCTGCCTGTCCAAGGCCACTGGCAGCCTTATCTATATCCTTGGAGCTGTCATTACCCTCGTTCACTTCTCTCAGGCTAGACTCCCTCCCCTTTTAGCAGGCTTGTCTTAGCTAAGAGGTCTGTGAGTACCAGAACATGACACCACTATTAGATGTTGTATGTTTCTGAAAGGAGGCTGGGCCCTGGAACTCCCTGCCTCATGAAAGGCCTATGTTTCCATGTAGCGTTAGAGATTCATTTGATTTAATCTGTCCCTCTAAATGTACATTCTACAAAAACACCAACAACAGCTTATCTGAAGGAAACATACTGAATACTGCAGTAACCTGCTAGGAAGCATTTAAGTAGATCTCCAGGATCTGTTAGTAAATAGGATATGGTTAACATTTTGCTGTGACTCAGGACAGAAGGGACTGTGATGATGACCTGTCATATCAGGGAGATTTGCTCCATGGCTCAGGAAAGCAAACCTAGTGACTTTTCACAAGGCTCACCCTGAGGCCTCCTGGAAAGTTTCTCTCACAATAGCCTGTTATCACACCAAGTATATTTATGCCCCTAAGTAGGTTTGGACACAAGGTTGTGAATGTATAAATGTGATTAAGTTCATCTGACTGGTCTTCTCTTAATTTACTTGCAGAAAAGCAAAATAATCTTGAAGAGGTGAAAGGAAAACAAACAATTGATCCCAGGTAATTAAAGAAATTCAGGGGCTGTCTATTCAGGGGTGACACCTGTGGAACTCATATCCACAGAAAACCAGAAAGTCCTGAATATCAGGACTTCAGCCAACCAGAAATGATCCTTTCTAACCATGTTTTACATTTTCATTGTGATCCTTGCATTGTTAGCCATTTCGTGTTAACTTCTCAGGTTCAGTACATAAAACCAGTTGATCCTGTGAAAAACTAATCAGTCCCAGCGATTTCCTTAAAGCAGCGATCCTCTTATGTTTTCAACCAGCCTGAGATGCATATCTGCTTTCTGCTAGTTTTGCATTAACACAATGCTAAGCATTTCTAGGCAAGGAAATTGAGTAGAAAAAAATTATTATACCACACATAATAATGAGAGAAGGACTTCATGGCATGAGAGTTTGGGGATATAATTATGCCTCAAATGCTATGTTTACTTGGCCCCTACACATAAAATTTAATACCATTTTTAAAAAAGGAATGAAGCTACCATTATGGAACATGATATTCAGTAAGTCACAACTGTACCATACAGAGACACTCAGTCTCCTTCCTCAGAAAATCGTGATCTGGCCACTTTGCTGAGCTCCTGATGCTTCTCTCTCTCTCTCATCTCTCTTTCCCTCTCTCTGTATTGCAACCTGCCCCATGGCAACCACACTGTGACCCACCGAGAAGAGGAGAATATTGAACTCTTTAATGGGCTGACCCATTTGATTTCTGCCATCACTGCCTCCTGCCTCACGTGAATCCAGCAGGGCTCTGAAACTCCTTGGATTAATCCTTACTCCTTCCTACCTTACAGGCTCAGCAGGGGACCACTGAGGGGGGACAAGCGTGAAGTCCCCCAGGAGTCACTGGATGGATGTTGCTTGACTCCTTCCATCCTTCCTGAACTACCTCACTCCTACCGCCCTTATGGGAGCACTTCGTACTGTTTTGAAGAAAAGCAAGTCAGCTTGGCTCTTGTAGACAGTGAGTACTCCATTGTGACCACAATAAATCTCCAATTGGTGTCCCAGGTAGACTCTGTAATCCTTGCACCCCTGGCTGGACAGAGATGTGTCATTGGGGTGGGCATGACTCACAGACACAGGATGTTTTGCATCAGAATCGAAAATCAAGTTGGAAGCACAGACATGGGGTGGGTCAGTGAGCTTTGCTCTCTTTCTCATCTCAGACCAGGCCTGTGTCACCCTGGGCCACTGTCACGACATTGACAAATTCAAACCAACCTACGCAGCACATGCCCAACAGGTGTCGGTCAGGCCTCTTAATCTGAATAAGATTTGTCTTGCCAGCTATTGTGTTCCTTACAAGTTCCTTTCTGTAACCATGTCCTTTGAGATTCTATGCCTGCCCAAGGCCTGTGGCATCTTAGTCTACTTTTCCTTAAAGATATTACCTAAGTTTCAAAGAACCTAGCCTCATTATCTGTGTCTCTGATGTTAGCCTGTTTTAGGTGAGCAGTACATTTGCTTTTGTTATGTGTCTAGAAACAAGACTGGGCCTTGTCACTCCTAGATGTCACAAACAACCAATGTCTCTTTGTAGTACCAAAGTTTCATTTTGATTCGAGGGTCTGTACGTTCTCTCCTTCATTCTAATTTCAGTGTCTAAAATCCTTGCAACCTTGAACAATGTGGGTATTTGATGACTGAAGGCTGAATATTGCAGTTTTCCTTCTAGAAAGCCATTGAAGTGTTTGCCTTGAATTGGTGTGAAAAATTTGCATAGCTATTTGCACAAAATCAGGACTGTTGATGTTGTGATAACGATCTATAACAACAGGGAGATTTCATTCCTAGGCTCAGGGAAGAAAACCAAAGCATCTCTCTCTTGACAGGACCTCAGGCCTCCTGGAATGTTTCTCTCACATTGTCTTGTTCTCCCACTGAGGAAACTGATGTTCCTATGTTAGGATTGCACAGTGGGCTGTTTGTGTGTGTAGGAGAACCTGCTTAATGTGTCTGTCTCTGTCTGAATTTATTTGCAGAAATTGAAAAGGATCAAGAGGAGCTAGAAGATCAAGACCCACCGTGCCCCAGGTAACTCTGAGGAATCAGGGACAGTTAATTCACTGTAGATATCTGGAGTCTCGGATGCAGGGAAAATCAGAGTGTGCAGAATATACCTGCTCCATCTGTTCAGCCAGCCATGAAATAGCCGTATTCATAAGGTTGACTCTTTTCATTGTACACCTATATTTGTATTTCTTCCTTATTAATTCATTTGAATTCTATTAATCTGCATTCAGTTAACTCTGTTGAACTGATCAGTCACAGACATTTTCTGCAGTTCCCTTTTCTGTCCTTTTTGCTTAAGTGAAGTTGAGCTGCACATCTGATGTCTGCCTCATTGGCATTATCATGTTTACAAGTATTTGACAGCAGAAAAGTGAATGAAAATAACTCTGTCATGCTACAATGTTGAGAGCAAGAGATGTTGAGGATACAGGAACTCTGTCTGGGAAGCCTCAAGAGCCTGTATTAATTTGGCTACTGATACTAATTTCAACAAAATGTATGCAAAAGTGCCCAATGCACTGTGTCCTGGCAGTTTCCCACAGGGATCACTCCATTACCTTCCTCCCCAGATCATTGCCTGCCCAGTGCACTGAGAGCCTGTCACACTCTGTTTCCTGCTCAAGACAGGGAATGATGGTTGTATCTCCCTGAGGGGACTGTACTTTGCTTCCTCTGGGCCTTCCTGAGGGCCTCCCTATAGAACCAGCTGGGCGCAGTGGTGTTGGTTCTCTCTGTTGTTTATCTTCTGTCATCTTTACCCCAGCTTGATCCAGGATCTGCCAGAGGTGAAGGAGCAGGAAATGCCAGAGGATTCCGTGGATGAAGTTTACTTCACTCCTTTAGTTCACCGTAACCTATCTGACTGCCACCAGCCTTATAGCAGCACCTTGTCCTCACTGGAGGATCAACTTGCCTGCTCTGCTCTGGATATAGCCTGTGAGTACTCCAGCCTGGAGGTCACAAAGCTCCACTGTCCTCCCAGGGAGCCTCTGTATGTTTTGTTTCTGCAACTCGTGCAGCTGAGACAGACCACCTCCACAGGCAGGCCCTAGACACTGATCCTGTTTTGAATTTGGCTCTTGGATGCAGTTTTCAGCACGGACATCCACTGGGTAGAACATCCTCTTCTCCTGTCCCAAGTGACTCCTCTGTCACCTGGCTCCTTCTCACAAGAGCAGGCTGTGACTGTCAAAACAGGCCCGACAGGGGTATGGTGAGGGCTTATGGCAAATTCTTGGCCACAGTATATTTATATAACAGACCCCCTTCTTTAAGATACGGCATCTCTGTTTTCTGAAATTATGTTGCAAACTATATGTCCTTATCTCTTCTCTGGCCATCCATCTATGCTGGGAGTTTTTCCCAACTATTTGGAGGCCAGTTTCATGATTCCTGTGTCCCAGGCTAGATTCTCTTCTTCAGGGATCCCCAGCCATAGGGCCATGGGCCGTTATGGGTCCATGACCTGTTAGGAACTGGGCCACAGAGCAGGAAGTGAGCATTGGGAGAGCATTTCAGCCTGGATTCCACCTCCTGTCAGATCAGCGGGGGCATTAGATTCTCACAGGAGCTCGAATCCTATTGTGAAGTGCACATGCCAGGAATCTAGATTGTGCTTTCCTTATGAATCTAATGCCTGTTGATTTGTCACTGGCTCCCAGTGACTGTCACCCCAGATGACACCACCTAGTTGCAGCAAAACGAGCTTAGGGTTCCCACTGATTCTACATTATGGTGAGTTGTATAATTGTTTCATTATATATTACAATGTAATATTTATAGAAATAAAGTGCACAGTAAATGTAATGTACCTGAATCATCCCACAACCATTCCCCCTAACCTAGTCCCTGAAAAACTGTCTTCCATGAAACCAGACCCTGGTGCCAAAAAGGTTGGGGACTGTGGCTCTACTTCCTCCGAGGGGTCCTCCCTCCACTGACACAGTCCAGTGTCCCTTCCTCTATGCGTGGCCAGGCTTGCATCCTCTGCAGAGCTCCAGTGGTTTTCTCCACGTGTGGGTTTTTAGTTTCAATCAAGTTTTGGGCTCAGTGCTATATGCTCATGAAAACCATCAACAACTAGTGTCCCTCATGAGGTTCTGGCATAACCGATGAGCAAAGCAGAGTGGTTCCTGTCCCCATGACGTCCAGAAAACCCTTCCTCTGAGCAAGTGCCCCTTGAGGTAGCAGCTTCACAAGACGTGTAAAAACCAAATCCAGTTTTCATTTCTTCTTGCTCATTCTCTCTCTTTTTTTTAACTTCTATTCTGGGAATTTCATGTAGATTTTGGGGGGTTTTACCCATTACATTGTCTTCTTGTAAGAGCAAGTAACTCTGTGCTGTTCCTCAGTATATTGAATTATGTTGTAATGAAATTAGCAAAAATGCCAGGTGTCGTGATTCACGCCTGTAATTCCAGCACTTTGGGAGACCAAGGAGGTGGATCACCTGAGCTCAGGAGTTTGAGACCAGCATGGGTAACATGGTGAAACCCTGTCTCTACAAAAAAAATTAGTGGGGCATGGTGGTACACACCTGTAGTCCCAGCTTCTCGGGAGGCTGAGGTGGAAGGATCCCCTGAGCCTGGTTAGTTGAGGCTGCAGTGAGCCACGATTTCACCACTGCACTCCAGCCTGAGCAACAAAGTGAGACCCTGTGTCACTCTCTCACAAACACACACACACACAGAAAGAAACTAGCAACAAAGATGTTGGCCTCTATTCTATTTTGGTCAGTAAGTGCCTTTCATACTGGGACCATCCCCATTCCCATTTTGCGTTTCTCCCTGAGTTTCAAAAAAGCAAATACTTTTCTAGGATCACAGTGATGCATGAAACAATTAAAATACACACTGTCCTTGCACCTGCTGTATGTCCTGCCCCTTTGCAAGCAAGCTCTGTCCTGCTATAACCCATTCAGGGTTCAAGGGACACTGCCAAGTGGGCAGTGGCATCTCCATGTTGGAGCTGAGGTCACTGAGGCATTTTTAAGAAAACAGAAAACCTTGCAGAGAATGAGGATGTGGAGAGGGGAGGAGAGAGAGGACCCCACAGCAACGTGGATCCAGCCCTGCAGGCCCTGTCTGTATCCTGAGCCCAACCTGGACTGGCGTAATGTCATTGGAAGTCTTTTCTTAGTCCACTCAGAATGTGTATTCCTCTCCCTGTGGAAATGGAAATAATCTGTTTAAGGGGTGCCACCCGAACGCCACTGGAGCAGTGGGTAATGTGAGGATCGTGTCCTCTGTTACCTTCCTAAGGAACCGCACATGCTGATCTGTGGCTCTTGTGGCCCCTGAATTTCCGGGAAGGGACTGGTCCCTCTCCTACATTGCCTCTGTCTGCTGACACCCACTATATGGCAATAGGATGGATATGTGTGGGCAGGGGGTCAAACCATTATGGGCAATGGGAAATTCAAAATGCCCCAGAACCCAGAAATTTTGCCTCACTTAGTGTTTGGTCTGTAGCCTCCCAGCCCCCTTTCTCGTGGTTCTTTCTCAAAGCCTCGCAGCTCTAACTCTTGGCCTGTTCTTACACCCCTGTGTGGGGAAAAAACAGCTCCGCCTCTCTTGCGAGCTGAGGGCTCTCTAGAACTTTCCCTCTAGACACAGGAAGGAGATGAATAATAACCGAATAATCGGGATGTTCTTGTTAGACGATCCAAAGCCCTCTGGGCTGCAGCAGAGGTTTTTCATTCAGGGACACCCCAGCCTGGGCCCCTACCCTGTCAGCGTCCCCAGACACAGACAGAAAAGGTGACGTCGCTTGCATTCAGGCACAGACAGGAAAGGTGATATCGCCTGCATTCACATGAGGTCTGTCTGTGTGGCGTGGGTCACTGGATGGCTTTACTGAGAGCAGGGACATTAGGGATGGGTGTTCTGGTCGTCTTAACAAAGGGAAAACTCAGGTTGTTCTTACCGAAGCCCCTTCTCCTTTCAGCTCCCACCAAGAGGGCCTGTCCCCAAGGGACTTGGAGTGCAGACTTGAGCTACCACCTGTCAGAGGTGCAGGCTTCACAGGCACAGCTGGAGCCCAAATGTCTGCGACTACAGCTGGATCAAGGGAATGGCTTGGCCAGGCAGGGCCTTTCCTCTACCACTTGCAGCTTCTCAGCCAATGCTCATTCTGGGAACCAATGGCCCTTCCAAGGTAGGGAAGGAAACGGCGTCATGAAGATCTAATCCAGGTGTTGGTGGTCACGGTGCTGTGGGTGCAGGAGAGAATGGGACCACTCTGTGCTTCCTCAGGGTCAAGATGAAATTCATGATGCTCCAACCCAGTGAGATGAGCAAAGGTTCTGGGTTTGCCACTTTCTGCTTGTTGACTTTAGCTTAGGTTTTTGTGTTTTTGCTATTTACATCTCTGTTCCCTCATCTGAGATAGCTGAAAAATTACATCTACCTGCAATCTCTGTTGGGAATATTAATTATTATAATTTCCAAAGGGCCTGATTCCATAAGAATTGCCCCATAAACCTATGAATAGGTGTTATCTAATCCTTTTATCTTTCTGCTCAATTTACACTTAGAAAGTGACTTCACGGATGATGTCTCCTCTGAGGTAGAGCAGTTATGAAGATCTCTGCTTTCTAGGGCCCCTCCTCCTCTCCTTTCTCACACAGACTCTTCTACCAATTTTCTTCCTCTCCTTCCCCATCCCTCATGAAGCCAATTTTCCCCTATCAGGCACTTTCAGTAACAACCTATGAGGCACATAGAGTAACAGTGTAAATCCTGGGCCCACACTCAGTCTCCTGACATGTCCAGCTTCCTCTGCTTTTTTTCCTGCTTTTTTTTGAAATAAAAGGGACCATGGAAAGTGTTCACATTAGTGTCTTTTATGAAATTCCATTTAGTTTAAATTCTCCACTCATGTCCACGGCCATGTCCTCAGTTCCTGTCTCACAGGGATCCACTTGTGCTCAGATTTCCTTAAAACCCAGGGTCGTGTTCATTCTCACTCGCTTCCCACTCAGTATCTCCTCCTGGAGCCCCTGGGGATGCCTGGTGCTCATCTGTCAGGCGATGGCCTCGGCTGAGGAATGAGGGGACCCCTGTCCTCAGGAGGAGGGAGGTTGGATGAGATAACGAGCACCATCTGGGCCCATGGAGAGGACACATGGAAGGCGCTCAGGGAGTGTCGGGGGATACGCAGTCCCTGACACGTCCCGGGATGACTTATTTAAACTGATTTCTTCCCACTGGACTCTCCTTTGCTTCTCTATGGATTCTCACACCCCCAGCCAAGACTCACCCCACTGGCTCAGACACACTCCCTGTTGCTCACTTTCCCTGCAGTCCAGAGCCTGAACCAGGCACCAGGTAAGAGGACAGAGTGAATGCCTTTTGTTTCATTAATATTTTCCTTCACCTGGTGATTTCTCCTGCTGTCTACCAGGTCATTTGTTTCTTCCACACCTTTTCTTTCTCATTCTTCTCGTGTCTCTAATTTTTTTTCCCTATTTCATTGGACCAGAATAGTGATGATACTGTTACATTCAATCTCTCCCAAATCCCTATATAATATTTTTCCTTTAAAATAACATGTACAGGCCAGGCGTGGTGGCTCATGCCTGTAATCCCAGCACTTTGGGAGGCCGAGGCAGGCAGATCACGAGGTCAGGAGATCAAGACCATCCTGGCAAACACTGTGAAACCCTGTTTCTACAAAAAATAAAAAAAAAAAAAAAAAATTAACCCGGCGTGGTGGCGGGTGCCTGTAGTCCCAGCTTTTCGGGAGGCTGAGGCAGGAGAATGGCATGACCCGGGAGGCAGAGGAGCTTGCAGTGAGCAGAGATCACGCCACTGCACTCCAGTCTGGGTGACAGAGCAAGACTCCGTCTCAAAAAAAGAAAAATTAAAAAAATTAAAAAGTAAAATAACATAATATGTACAGATATATGCATTTATGTCATTTGTCCCATTATGTGTGACTATGTATATCTGGTGTGTATACTACATAGGGTGTATATATATGCAGGAGATCATATAATGATGCAACTTTTGTAAATTCTCTAGGTTTAGTCTTCCTGATTCTTTCCTCCCATCAGCTGCTGTCACCTCTGTCTGGTCTCACCTCTGTGCCACATGGGCTGCCACCCTGCCAGGCCCTTTCATTCCCATCTCCTGTGTGAACCCAGCTCTGATTTAACTTTGATTTTTGTAATCTCTGCTCTCCCCAAAGCATAGACTACATAGAGTATTATTTCCTTGGCTTTATATTATCTACCTGGAAGCTATTTGTGTTTCTTAATCCTGTGTTTCTTATTGATGTAAATTGGCAGTGCCTTTGGCTCCAGGCAATCTTGTCATTACTGAGTAATGTAGGAAAGATCAACAAAAAGAAAATTTTAAAGTGACTCTACTGGCTTCCCCTTACCCGTTGGACGTTCTTGTCCAAGACCCCCTTCTTGATTTGATGTCCTCTGGGTGGAAGAGAAAGTCACAATTAGGTCATGGATGCCAGTGAATCCCACTGACTGTGTTTTTATTTTCAGAGCTGGTTTTAGAGCCCTCCCTGGGGATGAAGAACCCTCCCCAGCTGGACGATGATGCACTTAAAGGCTCAGCAGACAACACACAAGGGCATCAAGTCATTGGCCAGATTCATGCCTCCAGTGTCCTGAAACCAAAGATCATCAAACGAAAATTCTCATTCAGCAAGTGGAGACTGGCATGCAGATTCCCTGGCCTGCAAGCTTAGAGTACAGAGGTAATCACATCTATGGCGGATAGCTGCACTCACTTCTTATTTCTCTGTCTATTATTGACAGCTCATTCTCCTACTGCTTTTTCTCTTCCATTTGTTCTAACAGCTGCTGTAACCTCTGTCTGGTGTTTCCTCTGTGTCCCATGGGCTCCCACCCTGACAGGCCCTTTCTGTCCCCATATCCTCTTTGCTCTCTGAACTCTGCTCTATTCCTTCTTCTAGTGTCTTGACAGCCCCTCTCATGGCCACAGGAGAGCCAGGCCTCCTTGTCCTCATCCAAGTGCGTAGTTTAAGCTGCTGAACACAGGGTTGTTTGCCTGGAATCACACACTCTCTTGGGAAATTTAACTTTCCTCTCTGCATCCCAACTCCATTGCCTCTTTCTGCAGAAATCATTGCTTCAATACACCATTTACACATAGATTTTCCTCTTGAGTCTTCTTCTGAGCAACCCAACTGAATCAACTCTTAATCATCATTTGTTCTTCTGAATGAGCAGTGTTAAAACTAAGCACAAAGAGCCCCACTTAGGAAACTAAATTAGAACCGGGGTCACAGGTGGGGGTTCCCCACTGGCCTGGAGTCAGGTTTGTCTTCAGCCCAAGATGTGCAGCCTAGTGTCAATGTGGATGGGGTTGCCAGGGTCTCAGTGTTCTCACCTCATGGACTCACTTGAGCTGATGTTAACTGGAGAACATTTATGACATACTAAAGGGACATCACTCCAAAAGTACATGCACAGGGCAGGACTTCAAAACCATCATGAGGTTCATCGTTCCAACCTCTCTCCTTTTTATTCTCATTTCCACTTCTACAAGTCCAGTGAAGGGTCTAAAATGCAAGTCAGATGAATCTTGAGGCCAGAGTATATGAGAGAGCATTTTATGAATTAACTTTGAGAAAAGTGACTCCAGGACCAGCTTAATGCATACACAAGATGACAGACAAAAATCTGTCTATAGGACAATCTTTGCTTTGGCCCAGCCCAGTTGATAAGAGAGAGATTGAACTGAAATTGTCAGGGAGAAGGCTACAATACATAGAACCACTGGGAACAAAGCCAATCATGAGAGAAATGGGGAAAGGAAAGCAAATGATGAGAAACTGGGCTGGTCCATTTAATATCTCTAAATCCTGCTTCCATGTAATAAGCACCTGCTGAGGTTTCCATTAAGATGAATGCCTTGAACTCACACCTCGAGATTCTCACTTACATGGCCTGGGGTGTGGTTTGAGCATCTGTAGTTTTAAAATGCTCCCATGTGATTCTAATATGTGGCTAAAGGTGACAAGGACCCCTGGTGTACCATGACCTCAGGTTACCAACATGGAAGTGTCGCATACGTGTGGCTACTCCACAGAAAAGGCTGAGTATCCATCAGTCTTTGATGGGATCTGTATTTCCCTCTCAATAGTACTGTTTGTATAGCATAGAAAAAATCAATAAGACGAACAAGAAAATTAATAGATTAGACTTTTAGCCTCTGCTTGAAGCACACTTGCTCAGTTTTGAATAAAAGATAAGAAATAGTCATTATATTAACACCTAATGTATTGAAATAATACCTCCCATATTACATATAGTGGAATTTAGTATTTTTTCTTTTTTCTTTTTTTTTGCATTTTAAAGGAAAACTTCCAGTTTACATTTCCCACACCCATTTTATAGCCCACTCATGCGCTCACCACTGCAATGTGAAAATTTTACTTTTGGTCAATTATTGTCCTTCTGCAAAATCGCCAAAGAGAACTCATCAGTCTCACTATCCTGAAGAGAATACAGTAACACAGTAAGACTGAAATTCTGCAAGAGACTGTGTATGAATACTTCTTCATACCTCTCTTCACACTGGCATAAAATATTAAAAAGAAACCTTTCCCAAAATGTACTAGGGGAAAACAGTAAGTGGGAGGGGAGAATGTAGTAAAACAAAAACTAATCCATTTCACTTTGTACTTCAGAGTTTTCTTGCTCTAGATATTGAGAATATTTCTAGAAATGCCTTAAGGTGGAACCAGATGTGAAATCAATTTCAGGGCATTAAGGAAAATATGTTGGGCCGTGGTTACAGTCCCCGCTCTCTCTTTGCTAACACCATTTTGAGTCGCTTTTTAAAAATTCCCGTTCTTTCCTGATCCCCTTTGGACAAATACTTATAATTATCTTCTTTTTTTTTTTTTTTTAACTAGCCAAAGAAGCAGCAGCAACATCATATTTATTTGTAAAACTTTATTGCCGTCCTAACCAAGGTGACCCAACCGTCTCTCATGACTGTTGAGACCTCCAGATTGGAGCCTTTCCTCTTGCTTTCTCCAATCTTTGTTGAAACGGCCTTAGTGGGTGGATTCTAATTCCTGGGTTGTCAATAGCAAGTCATGTGGCCTTAGTTCAATCTTACCCCTGTGGCATCACTACTTCTCTGTCGTAAAAGATGGACCTGGATGTGATGTTGTCTGAGGTTCCTGCTGCTTCTCCCATCCCATGGCCCTCCCATTCCGCCCTAGAAGACTAGGACATGGAGTTGTAAGGTGGTGGGGTTCTCTGCAAAGGGTCCTCTCCTCCTGCTCCCCTCTGTTTCTGGGCAGGCATGATGGATGCTGAGCACATCCTCACTGGGAGGAAAAGCCATCACTCTGCTCCAGACAGAGGGGATCAGGAGGAAAAGGGCTGATGTTCCCCACTGCTGGTTGTGCATAGGTGGGGTCCTTATATCCTGCACCCCAGGCTGACTGGAAGTTCAGGGAAGTTCAGGAGTGTTTTTTTCTCGCTTGTGGATGGTGCTTCACCCTTCAGTAAACCCACGGCCCACGCTTCAGCTCATCCTCCTGGCAGGTGATCCTTTTGCCCCTGATATATCACTACCTAGCAATCCGTCCAGACTCAGCCATCAGGAGGACCTGACAAAAATGCTCATTTGATTTTTTTCTCTCTCTCCCCTACAGATACCAAATACTGCTGGAAGGATGCAAAGGGTGAAAGGATGTCACAAAAAGTAGCTTTTCCACTTGATGAAAACAACTAAAACAGCAAAGAAAGTTCAAATCAAAACACAATACTGCAGGGGTCCTTCACTGAGGATTGAATTTTAGACACAGAATACTCTTGATGGTTTCAACCCACTATGCTCCTTTGATTTGAGAAGCCACAGTCCATCCCCCTCCAATTGTAATCAATGCCTAGGGAGACCAATGCCCAGATGGACAAACAGCATTCACGGGCCTTAGCCCTGCTCCTCTCCATTCCCATCGTGTAGAGAACAGGAGTCAGGAGCCGCTGGCAGGAGACAGCATGTCAGCCGGAACTCTGCAAGGGCAGAGTATGAACAATGCCATGTTCTTGCTGAAAACGCTTAGCCTGAGTTTCACAGGAGGTAACCCTCAGACAACTGCAGAATGTAGAACATTGAACAAGACAACTGACCTGTCCCCTTCAAACAGTCCATGTCACCACCAAGAACACAACAAAAACAAGAAGAGACAATTTGGGCTCAAAAAGACTAAAAAGGCTATGTAGTTTGTGCTTTTTTAGTCATTTTGAACCCAAAACATCTCTTCCTCTTTTTGTTGTCATTGATGGTGATCACATGGAATGTTTGTAGAGGACAGGTCGACTGTGTGGCTCAATGGTCTACATTCTGAAGTTATCTGAAAATGTCCTCATGATTAAATTCAGCCTAAACATTTTGCCAGGAACTCTGCAGAGTCCATGCTGTGAGCTTCCTACCTCAGTCCATCTGCAGGCAGAGAAGGCCCAGTGTGTCCATCCCCATTGTTGTGATACTAGGATGGTCACTTGGTAAAGGAGGTGTCTAGGAGCTCTGTCCCTTGTAAAGTCATCTTGGTTATAATTAATTTGGAAAGTGGTTTGAAACAGTATCAACATCCTGTATTCTAACAATCTTCCTCTGAGTATTTTATCATCGATTAACCACCCCTGCCTGTGTCAGTTATTATATTTATGTCTGTACTTTGAAAATTTTCTATCTCAAAATCTTACTTTAGACTTGCTTTTGCTGGCATTCTTCATAAGAAAAAATATTCCCTGCCCAAATTTTAACTTTCATCCAAAATTAATTTTAATTCTTTTTGCTGGCATTCTGTTGTGATAAAGAAGATTCTCTGCCCCAATTTTAACTTGCATCCAAAATTAATTATAGTCCATCAGTTAAAATGTTTAAGTTTTAAATCTCTTCCATTAAAACATTTTTTGCTTCTCACTCTGGACTATTGGATTTTTTATGGATAATGTTTTAAGCTTTATTATGATTGATTTTGGTGTATAAGAATTTAGATTAATTTAAAAAGTCTTATTTCTCTGTTTATATTCTAAACTCTTCCATGTTTTAGTCTATGTTTACCATACATGGTAGAATGTATTTACTGTATTTCTATGTTGATGTTTTCTTTTTGTGTTTGTGTATGTGTGTGTGCTTTTTGTTTTATAGGAAGAGTTGGACAGCTCCCGTTTAACATTGTACTGAAAAGGTTTTTAATTGCCCAGTAGCAGGGTTCTGATGCACCAGGTCTCAGGCCTCATCTGTGTTTCTCCACACTGGCTTTCTGAGGAAGCCTTTACCTGTGTTTTGTCATTAACAGGACTTCGCTGCTGTGCTGGCCTCTGTTTGCCTGGTGTTTCCTCTCCCTCTGCTGTTATGTGGCTCCCAGACCTGGCTAAATAAAATTACCTGGGGCCCAGAGTTCCCTAGCCCTGGTTGGGGGCAGGATTATGGGTGGTATTTCTGACTCTGTGTTAATCCCCAGGGCTTTGAAGTGTCTGTGGAGAAATTCAGCTATTATTCTATCCTACTTCTCCAAATGCAGAACTTCAACAGTATAAATAAGGAGACAGAATCCTACACTACAACATCCCCATAATCACTGGCCAGCTTCAAGAATTATCATTGAATGGCTGAGCCTTACAAAATGCAATCCTTCTTACTTACCTAGGAAGTGTGTGTGTGTGTGTATATATGTATATATTAATATATATTTATGTATATGTATATGGTATGTGTGTGTGTGTGTGTGTGTGTTTGTGGGGGGGGGGGTGTGTGTATACAGACACTTTGGACATGAGATTCTGGAGGCTGAAATTTCCAAGACAGAAAGGCAGATACCCGGGAAAGTATTTCCTTCTCATTAGGCCTTTTACTTCTCCTCTGGCCTTTGGTTGATTGGATGAGGCCCACTGACTTTATGGAGGGCAATCTGCTTCACATAGACTGCCTATTCCAGTGTTAATGTCATCCAGATCCCCCTCCAGTACACACACAGAATAACATAGGAACAAATGTCCTAGCACCCTGGGCCTCGGTCACAGGGACACACACAATTAACCATCACACAAGTTCTTTGTCATATTAGTGATTCTCATATTTTTCTCCCAGTCTGTGGCATGTCTTTTTAATCTATGAATAGTGTCTTGTGCTGACCAAGAATTTTTAATTTGTATAAAGTTGAATTGATCAATGATTTCCTTAATCGTTTTGTTGATGTGATAACTAAGAATACTTAGCCTAACTCCACATCATGAAGAGTTTCTCTTATGTTTTCTGGTGTAATTTCTCTAGTTTTTCAGTTTACATTTAGTTCTGTAATTAATTTTGATTTAATTGTGATGCCAGTATGGAGGTTTAAGTGGATTTTTTAAATCTTTATTTAGTTTTTTCCTTCAACTTTTAAATTGTGGGGTACATGTACAGGATGTGCAGGTTTGTTGCATAGGTAAACATGTGCCATGCGGTTTGCTGCAGAGATCATCTCATCACCTAGCTATTAACCACGACATCTGTTAGCTACTCTTCCTGATGCTCTCCCTCCCCCCAACTCCCACCCCTCACTTCTGGCAGGCCCCAGTGTGTGTTGTTTTCCCATGTGTCCATGTGTTCTCATCATTCAGCTACCACTTATAATTAAGACCATGTGGCGCTTGGTTTTCTGTTCTTGCCTTAGTGTGCTGAGGATAATGGCTTCTAACTTCAACCATGTCCCTGCAAAAGACATGATCTCATTCCTTTTTATGGCTGCAGAGTATTCCATGGTGTATATATACCATATTTTCTTTATTCAGTCTATCATTGATGGTCAATGAAAGTCATAAATCCCTAATATCACAGAAACACAGTGTATCCTAAGGACAAGATACATGAATAAACCTACACCAAGGAACACTGTACTCACATTAATCAAAACCAGTGATGAACAGAAAATCCTAAGAGGAATAAAAGGAGAAAAAGCACATTACATACAGAGGACTAAATGAAATGATGACATTCTATTTCTTATCACAAACATTACAAAGTAGAAGTTTGCAATAGCTTTAAATACAGAAAAAAAACCACAAGCAATCAAAACTGAATATCTGAATAGACTTCTAAAACTAAAGAGATTGAATTAGCAATAAAAAAAAAAAAAAACCACATGCTAAGAAAAGCCTGGGCCCAGATGGGTTCACAGCTAAATCCTACCAAACATCTAAAGGAGAGTTGATATCACTTTTTCACAAACTCTTCCAAAATTAGAGGAGAGAACACTTCCCAGCTTATTCTATGAGAGCAGTATTACTCCAACACTCCAAGACATCACAAGAAAACAACAAATGAATGTCATCTTTAAATACAGACATAAAATCCTCAAAAAATATTAGGAAACTGAATCCAGTAACATCTGCACAAATTATACTTGATGACCAAGTGGGATTTATCCCAGGCATAGAAGGTTAGTTTAACATCTGAAAACCAATTAATGTAGTATCAGTAGAAAATAAACCAAAACTAATGTGATCATCTCAATAGACGTGGGAAATGCATATGACAAAATTCAGTATTCTTTTAACAAACAAGGAATAGAAGGGAACTTCCTCAACCTGATAGAGGACATCTGTCAGAAAGCTTCAGTTAACATCATGTTTAGTGGGACAGACTCAATGCTTTCACCTTGAATTAGGAATAATACAATGATGTCCACTCTCAACATTTCTATTCAATGTTGTACTGGAGATAGTAGCCAGGACAATTAGGTAAGAGAATGAAATTAAAAAAAAAAAAAAAAGGTATACAGATTGGAACAGAAGAAGTTAAACTACCTTTATTTGAGGATGATATGTTCTTACATGAAGAAAACCTCAAGGAGTATACTAAAATACCACTAGAATGAATAAGTTCATCAGGGTTACAGAAATTGAGATCAGTACTTAACAATAAATTGTATTTCAGATTTTCAGATTAGGGATACTCAACTTACACACTTAAATCTCTGGACAGTGAAATCATGAGTATTTTTTCCTCCGTGATCTCCTATATTTTCTATATGGTATATATGTGCCAGATTCATAATCAGAAATGAAATTACTGAGATCATTTAAAAATAGCAAAGAAATTTGTATGAAGGAAATAATTTTAAGGTTGCCGAAAAAAATCATTCTAATATAACCCAGTTAACTAATGTAGTTTCTTTGTTTCTAAGATTAATTGCTTAGACTGCATATAATCAGAATAAAACAAGTGTATTTCAATCTATTTTTAAAACTTAGTAATTTTATAAGAGTTGATTTTCTTAGTCACCACTGCTTTCATAAATAACCTTTGTTCTTCTAGGGGGAGCACGGTAATATTTCAATGCAAGCAAAGTATTGTTTACAATGCTGTTCATTGATTCATCCTGTCGGGTCGCAAAAAGCTACCAGGAAGTTTGTGAAAGATGTTTGGTGGGTAGCAGGAAGTTGTGAGGTTTAACACATAAATTTGGCTAAATAAAATTCTGACGGGTGCACATAGTAGACGAACTCCAGTTCATGCATGTGCAATCTGGATTACTGCAGCCCAGTCATCATTGGGTTGATAATGATTTAATCAACCAAATAGGTGACCCGGCTGGTGGCTCACACCAGTAATCCCAGCGCGCTGGGGACCCGAGGCGGGCAGATCACTTGAGGACAGGAGTTCGAGACCAGCCTGGCCAACATGGTGAAACCCAGTCTCTACTAAAAATACACAAATTAACAGGGTGTGGTGACCTATACCTG